TATATATATATATATATATATATAGTATAGTATATATATATATATATATATACGATGTGCTTTGTGTGTGCGTGAATCGTGCGTTCATTTGGTGCGTATGGTGTTGTGTATGTGATATGTGTAGCATGTGTTGTGTTTTTGCGTAGATAATGTGTGTACATTTGTGTAGATAATGTGTGTGCAAGTGTATAAATAATATGTGTATTATACATCCATGTGAGGCCGATGACGATAGTGTAGAATATTTTATACAGAATGTGATCTGCAAATTTTTTTTCTACTAATTACAAAAGTTAGGCACATCGAAGCAGGGAAGCTGAACATAGGCTGATCCGAATCATTATCACATCTTGCTTTATATATATATATATATACGTTGTTTCCTGGCCTTTTATAATGATGTGAGTTTATAAATACACATTAATAACAACGGATCTGAATGACGCGGTTACTTTTCCAACTCGATCTGCAGACCAAAACGGCCGAGGAGGTAGAAGCATACAGCAAGGTACTTTGGAAACGCTATAAAGAGATACCCGACTGGGAGCAATGGGTGTCTAAGATTGAGAAGGGAGAAGAGGCGATACACAAGCGAGAGGCAACGGAACAAGCCCTCATGGACAAGGTATGTGGTATTTTTCTTTCGACACATGAAATTGATATGTAATCACCCTGGATAAGGTATGTGGCGCACAACACATAGGTTATATAAATAAGTGTTGATAGTGGCTTAGCTTATGGTGGAAATGAGATTCGTGTCCGCACGACTACCATTGTGGTCTTCATGTATAGCAGCACTAAGGAATGTAAATTCACGATAGTCAACCATCAAGGCACGCCGCCTTATACAGATGCTCTTGGTAATTATCTAGTGTGTGCTACAGAACAGTTGTGACTTTACCCCAAAAGACACCTTGTTGCCATGTACTTTTCATGTAGTATACATACACAATAACAGTATGCAATCGTCTACACGTGTGCTATACATGCATCAATACACCTTGACTCTGAAAAATTTATTTCTGTCTAGCAACGCTATGTTGTCTAATCTCCTATTCCTTTCCGGCGCAGGTGGCTTCATACAAAGACCCCTTCAACACGTTGCAGGTGCCATATACCACTAGCACAGGAAACAAAAGCTACAACACAGAAGAGGATCGCTTCATGGTATGTGGTTGTGATCAAATTTCGATATAAACACGTAGGTGTGCTTCGCCACGCTTCTATTTGAATTCTCCTTCTTGTAACTACATGGGTCCAACCAGATATGCACTGTCAATGCTAGAATCTATATGCGAGTACACGGAACTCCAAACGATGATTTGAAACCGTGTAACCCTTCAGCCAAACCCCGTTGATTACCTCGGAAGTGTTTGTGAACATGCATCTAAGGCGCATGAAAATGATTTTTATGTGAATTTCTTCTTTACCATCTCGATCAGATTTGCATGTTGGCCAAACTGGGACTAAACACAGAGATGGTTTACGACTCTATATTGCGGGAGATACGTATGGCGCCGCAATTCAGGTTCGACTGGTTCATCAAATCACGGCTAAATACAGATATACAGAAACGCTGCAATCAACTGCTAATCATGTTGGAGAAAGAGATTGAGGAGAATGCAGGTAACAAATCCAAGAAGCAGCGCAGATGAAGGTTATGGGTGCCCCATACCAAGTGTATGCATATGCATATACAATTAATTGTGTGTGAATTATATGCAGATGTGGTTGTATATGTAAATACGTGATACTCAATCAAACAGTTCTAGGCATCTCTTTTATGGGATACTTGACCGGTTGCACTCCTACACGTATCAAACAATAAAGAATGAAATGTTCTCGGATCGTTAGCGTCTCATAATTACAATCCGGTTGTATATTTTCGGCGCAATGCCGTCGATTGTACGTCAAAAGGCACTTTTTATTTGCTTTCGAATCCACGATAGATCCTATATATCCCGACAGTCAATACAATTGTGGCACAAGATCATAAAGTACCATCGAAGTCTAGATGGGATTCTGTTCGCAATTAGACTATGTGGTCCCTCGAACGTTGCTAGGACACCTTGGGAGAAAATTCTTGAGACAGCAACGCAACATAAGCATTTACGTACTGCTGTAGTTTACTGAATACCGAGTTTTTAGATCTGAATACGCCCGCAATTTGTGTAATGATGTGACTCAGCACTGTATGTACTAGCACACGTTCGTTTACAATTATGGAATGGCCCGTGATAGCTTTTTTTGTATACCTGATATCATCAGACGCCCCAGTTCACCTTCCCAAGCCCCAGTTCACCTTCCCAAGGACCAGGACCCTTCTAGGTATCAGAGCCTAAGCCTCAAACCTTCCCTACTCGATCAGCCACCTCTGGGCTTTTAATCTTGTCGGCCAATCCATTCATAGACCTGGAGATCAGATGCAAATTTCAAATAAGAAGTTAAGTATGGATGGTGGGACATGTCGGTAAAAAAAGACTGTGCAGATGATGACATTGTAGCAAAATCGAAAGTATTAACATCCAACAGGAACACAACAGCTGCAAAGTAGGGATTCACATGGCTCCAGAGGTTCTTATATGACACAATTTCCACTGAGTGAATTAGACAGGGGAACTACCATGTCACGTTGAGCATAGAAGCACACAGAACATCACAGTCGAGCCTTACTTGTAGCCAGTGGCGTATACGATCAAGCCCGCGGGGAGTTCACTCTCGTCTGTCAGCACGACTGAATTTTCATGAATGCGATCGACTGTCACGTTGCTACATAGTTTTGCCCGCCCATCGATGACTAACTCTGATGCTCCAACATCCTGTAATAAGTAAATAAGAAGTGTTTGGTATCTAGCAAGTGATTGGGTACTTTGACAGTTACTAGATACAATTGTGTCGATTGACGATTTGGATAAATTAGCACTGTTTGAAATTTGCCTCAGCTGTATATATATGCAATAGAAAAAGTTCTTCCTGGAGAAGACAACATTATCACAGCCATGCACATCGCTTCGAATATTTTCACTGTGCTGTGACAACAATGGCAAACAAGAGACCTTGCAGCAAACAAAAGAAAGAAGCAAGAAGGAGATACGTTCTTAGCCTGAGCCTCGGCAAAGATATTCTTCATGAATTAACCAGTGTCATTACAGCCCATGTCCAAAAAAAACCCTGCGTCCGCCAATTGTTTGTAAAACTTCGCATCTCTCCGCGATATTTCTTCCGCAACACCGGCTTGTATCTTCGTGAAGACTGTGTATAGCACTGGTGCTAGTAAAAGGTCGGCCTTGTTGTAGTCGTTGCCACTTGCTACATCCTATTCCGAGTATAGCGGATCTAATAAGAGTGACATCCAGTAATTATAAAGCGGAAATGAAAATCTAAATGTGAGGTGTGCTTGGGCGACATTCAGGTGGGCCGCAGGCGAAACCCGACGCTCCATCGCTTATGCTCACTTGTGATACTCATTGTGTAGTAGAAGTAGTGGCCAACACAATCGTGACAAGATTTTTCTTATCAGATGTTCTAGTACTACCATCAAAACCGCGCCGCACCAGATAGCTGGAATGAAAAACTATATAATAAGTATGGACAACATTTGATAACTTCGGGCTGAAATGACTGTACGAGAGCGTCATACCTTGCATCATCAGGGTATTTGCAGTAAAAGCCACTTATCTCTAGTATCCAGGACGTATGCAACTGACTACATCTTTACATGTACTAGTATGTGTATCTGTTTCGCCGCGCATCATCTAGATACTTTGGTATTAATTTATACGGTGAATTATATATTGGTTTAATTCTTCGAAAGCTATGGATGTACCGATGTAACATTCCGTATATTTAGCTATTCAAACATACATTATGCCTACACATACCTGTGTATCTATCTTGGGCCACCAGCGTCGATAATCTATGTATCATAGTCACGCTCCTTGCACCACTTTCGTACAGCGCGGCGCATATGTCGTGCGCAGAGTTGTTTGAACCGAGCACAACACATGACTTGTCCTTGTATCCTTTATTGTAGATTGCGATAATAGTTATGGTAAATAAGAATCATATATTGCAAGCAAACGGTTGGGGTGATGATTCGATACTGCACAGAAGATGAAAGATGTCAACCTTTGCTGTGTAAACTTTGACGGATACTTTATGTTTTAAACTGTTATAACTATGTTATATAAACTAAGATACAATTTAAGTCAGTTAGGATTTAGCAGTGGTAGCTTGTGTAAGAATGATCGGGACTGCCTCTTGGTAGGAGCCTTAATATCCTCGATCACACAGGACGTACCTCTAGCTGTTCTTTATTGAATAATTTCACTAGAAGTACTAAGTGTTCATGACCACATGTCTATTTTGTAGATAGACATGAGAACGTAAGTCAAGTTAATACATTAGCTAATATAAATAAAGTTACATCTGAAGAAAAGTTAAAAAAAGAAAAAGACTTATTGGATTTTGGAGATTGGCGGGAAGACCAAAACCTGTAAGTAGTAGTTCGGAGATTATAAAATTTTTAGTTTATAATGTCCTACATCTACTATCGTCTCAAATAGGGATAATATTATTTATTTCAAAAATGGCAAGTATGTATGATACAATGTATGAACATATGGTATGGCTCTCATAGTCGCTGTAGTGGTTCAGGAAAGATAGATGGGAAGAAGTGGCCAGTAAATTCCCGTATGAAGCTTGGGCCAAGTGAGTCGACAATGGAAGATATGTGCTGAGTCAATTCGGGCCTCCAAGTAAATGAGTCAAACCAAATACTCGGACTATTGGAGCCATCAAAGTGAATTTAGAACACTTTGGAAATATTGGAAAAGAACTTGTATTATATTATTTTAAATACAAATAAAAACGAATGTGTTATCTCATTTGATCTTGATATTTTAGACTGATCAGAGGCCGTATTTCTACAGCTGAGACTGTTCGTGAGGTAGGAGACGATAACATGCTAGGCGTAGTTGCACATTATGAAACACCGGCATGATATGTTAATTTGATTCAGCCTCTCACTATTGTTAACAAAATGTATACACATGGTAGTTCCAAAGAGAGAGAAACCACTTTAGACTTTTGCGCACCTGTATCCATGTGCACTCGAGTAATGTATTTCGCCCTTAAACTCATCCGCCCCGGGGAAATCCGGGACATTTGGCAGTCCGGACATGCCAGTCGCCATGATCACGTGGTTGAGGCATAGCACGTGCAAGTTTGTATCGTCTCTTGTTACGTTAACTGTCCACTCCTGTCATATGAAACAGGATGGAATCCATGTTAACGTTGGGATATTGTAGGTTTGGGTAAATTTGTATGAGCCCAACCTTAACCGTACGTATACTGTGATCCTACCGCGGACACGCTCGATAGTCAAACGATTCAGTGCGGATCTTAAAGGAGAAACCGACACTTACCTTTGCGTTGCTGTGGTACATAGCTGTTGTATAGATAGTGCTGCCCAAAAATTTAAGTCAATCATTTTTGTATAGATTTCCAGCCAATCGTAAATCTTATCCTTCAGTGTAAACAGTGGTCAGAAATTGGGGAACAATATACATGGCAAGTGGTAGTACTGTAATGTACAAGATGTCCCTGAAGTGTGATCAAAACGATGCAGACCCATCGCAAATACGCTATAAGTATTCTTAAGTTTTGTACGACAAGTGATGAAAACGCAACGCAAGAGGCTATCCTACATATGTTCATATAGCTAGCACAGTAATCGTTGAAATACACTCAAAAATCGCATCACATGGCCCATGTATGTCTGTAAGATCTTCAACTCACTCTCTAGGCGTGACTAGAGCTATTCGAATTTTCAAAGGCTATTTGGACATCCACATGAACATGCAAAACCAAACTTTACCAACCATAGCGCAACACGTCTATAACACAGTACGGTTGTTCATTAGATCCCCCAAGTTTCCGTAATTCTTTCTTCTTCTTTTCCAGCCAGTTTGACCGGTTTTGCACCACTCCATGCTGCATACCTGTGGGCCGATACATTCCCGCCAGTTCCTCGTGGCCAATCAGCTCTCTTATACACGTTAGTAGTGTGAAGCACTTCCCGTGCTCATTGATACGCACGTGTGCACCCCCACGTGCTATACATGTATTTTAGTCACCTACGCTTCCAGCATACCGCTGTCGTCTGCAATAAGTGTAACGTCGCCGTCCACACTCCAGTTTTTAGGTTGAATGTTAATGAGTGTGCTGGTTAGCATATTTTGCATTGTATCCTTTCCTCCCATCGTTTTGATATTCCATGTGAACGACACGACGTCACGCCAGACTCTGTATCGAGAACCCAAATTGTGGGGATCGTTAGAATGTAATAATTTGTATCCATATTCTTAGTTGGTCGTGAATTATGGTTTTTGGCTTGTAAAACGAAACACTTTGCTAATCCGATTTTCCTGAAAACTTTGTTAAAATTTTAAGAAAGGCTATAAATAAATAACCTCAATACAAGTCATAGGTTTACCTGATATATACCGGTAAATTGGTATTCAGCACCGGCCCGGTATCCGACCTTTTACCGAAAGAATATATTCTTTACGTACTTACTATTATAAACGAATTGACTAAGACGTAAACGTGTTGCACATGGATCGATACATTATGTGTACTGTAACGCCAGTCCATATTCCCCTTCGCCCTCTCGACTTGCAAAAGTATACTTGTATGTACATGCACACTCTTGATATTGCGATCGAATCCTTAATGCTCGAGCCACCGTTGATTGTCAAACTGCAGTTCACGAGAACAACCTTGCTAAGTGACTCCATACTTAACTCCTATATTATTAAGTGTGTACTAAAAAGGGCTGGGCAATATAGAAACTGCGCTCGAAATATGTTCGACTGCATGCATAAATGATCCACTAGCTAACAATAAAACGCTTAGTCAAAGCGAAGGGAGTGTACTGATAGCCGCTGTCCTGTATTAAGATAGGAGCTCGACAGAGAGGATGATATGCAAAGTCATGTGCGCGTAAACCTTTGCATGAATGTTGACAATTGCAGTATTCACTTTGTAGCCATATTGACCAGCCATTTGAATACACTGTACGAATACACCAATCTTATCAATAATCCCGGGGAGAGGTTTACAACACTTACTCCTTGACTACTATATTCCATTGAACTCTCAAATATTGTGTTCCACAGTGATCTTTATTTCGCGATAACATACCAGACACAGCTACCGTTGTGATTGTTCAGCGAGTCGAGTTCTACATCTTTGAGTATTTAAAACTACATACCCGCAAAAAACAGAATCACATCGTCTATATTTTTATGTTCAATAGTCGGTTCGAATTGATACAGCCACGCCTCGAGGGGACTAGACATCTCTTCGGTCTTTGCTTGTTATTCCAGCTCAGATTGCACACCGAAAACAACAAAGGTATGTGGCCTAGAATTCAAAGACATGCACATATATAATAGTAATAAAAATTTAGCTCTCGTTGATAGGTAGAAGTTGTGCACAATAGT